CAGTTTCTGGCATAGTTTTGCAGTTTTCTGGTATAAAATAGCAGTGATTTAAATTGGTATCATTTTTTTGTGTTGCAGTTTCTGTTAAATATTAAATATAAGAGTGAAAGCATGGGACGATGCAATTTATGAGAAAATATTTTTTATTTATGAGCTAAAAGTTTAAGTTTTCTTTCTCATTTGAGAAGAAAGATGTCACGAGCGAAGCCGAAGACAAGATGCCGTGAGTGCAAGAAAAATCTATCGTCGCCTACTGCGCTTAAGAGGCACCTGAAGAAGAAGTTTTCTTGCAGTAAAACTGCAGTACGACGGAGACGTGAGGAGCGACGGCTTAAGAAAAACGAGAAAGAACGTGTCCGGTATTACAGGAAGCAGCACCGGGATGTCCCTCAACGGAGCGAGCCGGCAGATCCCCCAGTTCAACGTAGACACACTTCTCGACCGATGGTCCTGAACTTCTACTATTACACCAACGAAGATCCCTCCAACACGGACGTCTCATTTGTCTAGACGTCATCTACAAAATGACAATTCCAGGTGTAACTTCAATCAAATCATACGTCTGAACATCTGCTACTGTGCGGATGTTCTCTTGCAGAGCCAAGAAAAAAAATGTGCTCGATAGTTTCTCCCCCGGATTCTGAGTGCTGCGCGGATTACAGTGGTGACGTAGAGTTCGTCACGGGGGGATTGTTCTCCATGTGTCGATCGCTTCTAAGAGTAGGAGCCATTTAAATGTAAATACACTTAAGTATCAACTTTAGGAAAGTAATCAGGAAGTAACGTAAACACGTAAGTGCCGGGCAAAAGACCGCGACAGGACTGCGGTGTCTGGCGAGGCTGCTCTCTTCTCTGCTGCTCTCTGGTGAGCGGCAGGCGTCAAAACGCAAAGTGTGGAGCAGCCTCCGCCAGAACACCGCTGTACCGCAAAAGTAGATTTAGTATACAAATAGCAAATAAGTCAATACTAAACTCTAGATAAATGCACTCTCGTTTGAGTACACCATCTTGGCAGCGCACAGCCAACGATGTCCTTGTGCATACAGTCCTTGGTATAGTCCTTCGCCATTGCACGCATGTGTACTCAGTGTAGCCGGCTGTAGTGCAGCCGCAAGCTGCATTGCTAGGCGCATGAGTGTCCTTGGGATGTGTCTTTGCAGACACTGGCAGTGGACGGTGGCTCGTAGATGGGGGCACCGGACACTGGCAGACTGCAATGCACTGGCGCTCGACACGCAGGTAAGTTTTATAGCTCACACTCCCACTTGATCTCGGCGACGCATTTGGAAGTCGACGCGATCACACACGCGCATCCTAGCTGCCGCCATAGTCCTAGTAGTAGCGTAGTCA